TGCTAATTTTACTAATGATCAATGTGTTTTTTAGGTTGTAAATATAAACCAGAATAAAATAGTCCCAGTAGGTGGCAATAAAGCAACTCAGTATAGACAATAAATAAATAAATAAATAAGAGAGAATGCAGATAAGCGATGTTAGCTTAACCTAGCCAAACCTTAGAAGAACCTCAGTAAGTAATAGATAAAAAATCTCAAATGAAACTATTTTCTTCCAAATTCCAAAACCATAATGTTGTTTTGGAACTAATACATTAAAGGTGAAAAAGCTCCACAAAGAAACACAAGTTTTGCATTGAGATATCAAACTACGTTGTATCTACTGCCATCTGTTGGTGACTAATGTGTTTAACCTGAGGTGCATTTCTCATATTCAGTGGTTAATCCAAAGTCTTTAAACCTGGATTTACTACTCATTTTAGTAGTAAATGAGTAAATTGTAATCAATTAATGAACCAGCACCACCTGCAGGAGGGCTACTGTATATACTTTACTAAAAACTTTCGATTGTCACTTATCTTCAAACTATGTTCTCCCCAAGACCATGGGACTAGTTTACTTTTTCACCGACTATGTGCAAAAATGTTACTGTGAACAGTATGTTTGTGTAGATACAATATGTATAATGCGTGTGTGTGTGTGTGTTAGCGTGCGGCTAATCTGAAGCAGTGGTTAGAGCGGATGAATGGAGGATCATGTGGAGAGGAGATGGATGGCTCCAAGCCCAATGCTGTCTACTTTAATTGTAAAATATTAGTTACATTAGACTCTTGCCTGTGATTAATGGAACTTATTTGGAGGTTGCCCTCTCTTGGACTTTCCCTCTCCTTTAGTAGGAAAAAAGGAAGAGACCCAGGGAGGAGGTGGGGGAGGAAGAACGTCGACAAGACAACGACAAAGGGGAGACAAGCAGGCCAGTGAGCGTCTGACTCAGACACCAGCCTTTCGGGCTTGTTGTTACCAGACGTTTGGAAGTTTAACAGGCAGCAGGAGTAACATGCTTTTCCTTGTGTGCATTTGGAAGATTTTGACCAGTCTAGGGAAAATCGACGTGGTTGATCAGTATGTGTCATCTGTGGGAGAGCGGAGTGACACATGTTTAGATGCAAGAAAGCAACACTTGTGTTTAGTTTAGAGACATTGTTTCATGTCTTAACTTTTCTGTCTACAATAAATTATGGGAGACAACACAACAAAAATATTTACCCCTTACACAGTCTATCAGTTTATTCCCCCCTCTGCTGGTCTCTCTTCACTCGCACACAAAATGCTTTGCCACCCCGGTGGTATTCAGCTGTATCAGGCCTCATGCTCGTCTGGCTAGTGTGTGTTTTTGTGTTTGTGTGTGTTCGCGCCGGTCCTTTATGGCCAGCAGGTTATTATACGCCGACAGATGGAGCATTACCTTTTATTGCTCACACCTTCTGTGAGTTTTCCTACTTTTCGTCCTGAAAACACCTTTTTTATGTAGATAGGAAAGCCAGTGTTCAGCTGCGTGCAGCTGTCGGAGGCTTGATGAGTCGCATGATGGAGAGGAAGACGCGAGGGTGGGGTGAAAAGGCTGAAGCAGCCCTCAGTTTTTGGGAAGTGATGTCAAATGACATCAGCACATAATGGTTTACTGTAACCATGAATCACTCAAAAACACAAGTGTTAGACAGAAGTGGGAAAGGGAAAGTTACGTGCACAGTCGTCTTAAAAATAGCATAGCAGTGAACAATGACACGTGGCTGTCCGGAGGTAAATGAGTCGTCCAGGGATTCCAGTCGGATCCACGCGTGTTTTTTTTTTGCGTCATTCCTCTTCTAATTAAAGCCAGATTAACTCAGTAGAAGCAATCAGACTTTGTTCTTTGTGACTGAAAGGTAGGGTTAGTGCTGTGCTGTGTTGGTTCACTTTGTTTGTGGTGGAGTTATGTGGTGGGCACTGAGGAGGGGGGCAGACAGGAAGTTTTGGCATGCCTTCCCTCCCAGCTGCAGACGTCTGTCATTCCTCAACTCAACACTAGTGTGCGTGTATATCTCTCTCTCTCTCTCTCTCTGTGTGTGTGTGTGTGTGTGTGCTTTTGTGGTGAACAGGAAGTATGTTACAACAAATTAGAACTTGCTGCCTTTTTCCAAAGACAAGTTAAGCTTTGTGTTTTAGAAAAGTTAGACTCTTGACAACAAATATAATAATAATAATAATAATAATATTTTAAACATTTAAAACAATATACAGGGGCATAATGTGCTACTTAGATTGGTTTTATGTCGCCTGTGATGATTTTAGAAGTTTATGTTGATGCTGCTCCCAGCTGGTGAAGCTAAAACTTAACCTCTAGGCCAGGGGTCACCAAGCTTTTTGAAACTACTTCAAGAGATCTACTCTTCTTACCATCGTCATTGCACCCATTTGGATATCATTATAGATGGAACTGATTAAAAAAGCACAGCAGTACACCCTCTTGTTGACTAGTTTTATTTTAAGAACATAGTCTGCCGGCACCAGGTGCCCCCAGCACCACGTTGGTGAACCCTGATCTAGGCCTTTTCGTAAAAGTTGTCTCTTTTTTACTCTTTCCATGTTTGCTGCTAAAGTCCTTGATGTATTGTGGATTTTTTAAAATTAATATTATTATTACTTTTTTATTTGGTTTAGAATCATCTTGGGAGAAGTAAAACTTATGTTTTGCTTTTGTTCATTCAGTTCTGTTCTGTTCTCTTCTATATGGAGGAATTCTATGAACATGTTTTTACTACCAATCAAAAATCCTTTGATCATATGGTGGAGTCATATCCTTCTCTCTGTTCCTAATTTTAAAAGTAAACCACTCAATGTCATTCATTAATTCATGGATCAGCAGCATAAAAAATGCAGACAAAATAAAGAACAATAGACGTTTGTGATCAGTGAAGTATGACGATTTCTTTGAAGCACCTCGCCCTATCACTTAACTGTACTGTTTCATTATGAGCTCACATCATGGTTTTCTGTTGTCATTTCTCTAATATACCATGAAATCCTGTCTATTTTTCCCCCAGCTCCAAAGCCGTTCCAGTGCAGATACTGTCCTTACAGCGCTTCCCAGAAGGGCAACCTAAAGACCCACGTGGTCTGTGTCCATCGCAGACCCTTTGACAACACCCTTTACCCTGACCGACGCCTGCGGCGCTCTCACACGCCCCAGCGAGCGTCCAGATTGCCCCCGACCATCGCAGGAGACAACCACGCGTCAGGGAGAGACCAGATTGGCGTGACGTCGCTGTGTGGAACTTGATGTTGTCATGGCAACAGAAGATACAGACAGTTATGTTTATTGCTAGCTTCACCTCTAAAGGGTTAGGATGATTGAGATTATTAAAAAAAATGTTTTAAAAAAAAAGTTAACCAACCGTGATGTACATTCCAGTGTTTACTTGAAGAGCCACAGTACGTATTTATCTGTAGCAAAAGAAGCTGCCTATAATAATAAAGTCCATTGTGATGTGAAAGTGTAGCTCGGGTATTTAGTGCCGTTCATTTTGTCAGAAGTGTCCAAACGATTTACTTGTGTTTACAAGCATCTTTCAGCTCAACACTTGTCTAATAGGGAGAATGTATCGTGCCCGCCCGCAGCACTTGTTCTTTCATCCAGTAAATACCCTGTGTTACATTTTTGTAAATATCGCTCAATTTCCCTTCCAGTCTAGAAGTCTTCTCTATCTGTCAGGATATGGTGCCAGATGTTCAGGCTTTAATCGCGGCAGATGTAATGAAGTAGAATGTTGCATATCGGAGCTTCCATTTGTTCTATATTCCACTCCAGGGACAAAGCCTCTCTCACATATAATTATTGCCCATTAACTTCTATGCTTCATGCGCTCATGCTGGAACAATGCTCAATTAAGGAGAACCAAGGAAATGGAAAACTGCGGAGATTCATTGATAGTACATTTAAATCTCTTCTCCCTCTATTTTTTTTTTTATTGAGCAGAACTACCCACACGTGTACCTACAGGATCTGCCCACGAGCGTATTACAGGCCTAATCAACACAGCTATTGTACCCTATCACTGCCATCTATGTCCATTCCAGCATGTTCAGAGCTGCCTGAGCCTTCTGTGCCGTCAGTGTGCCTGCACGCCCAGAGAGCACCCTGGGCAGCTGTTTGCTTGTTCAGCCACGGCCTTGTAACCACACCGATGTGACTTTGACTGACAGCTCGCCCGACAACTTCATTCATGCGCCACCTGCTAGCTGTCAATCAGAGCGGCCATCCTGGGGCTATTGATGGAGCTGTCAGCCCGTGTGAGATGTGTCTGTCAAATCCCACCCACCCTGCCAGGGCATTCTGACATTGGTTTACACCGTCCTCCTTCCACTCTCCTTTTCCCTGCCACTTCTCTCTCTTTCTTCCAACTCTTTGTCCGTCTGTCTCCTGCCAGTTTCCCATCGGAGACAAGGCGGCCTCCTAATCCCAGATCCAATCACCGATTCTTTGGGTACACATTTGTCATTCTCAGACCCTCTCGTCTTTTGCAGATAGTGCTCTACAAACACGTCTGCAGGTGACTGGGGCCTGATATCTCTGTAGTTTTTATTGCCTCTCCGTGTTTTTATGTGTATCCACTGAATGCCAATGTGACCAGTCGTCTGTTTTTCCTCATTTTTCCCCCCATCAAATTCCTTCTCCGCTCTCTACCTCCTGTTCCACACCTTCTGCTTCTTCTCTCGCCCTTCAGCTCTGTACGTGACAGGTGACAAGGCCCCTCCCCTGGGCTGATGTTTCATTGAAGAACTGTCAAACCTGTCAATACCATCTGTGCCATTTCAGACCAGACCAGTCCAGATCAGACCAGACCAGACTATCTTGTGTAAACTTTTTGTTTTATAGGAACAGGAAATGCTGCAGAACTCTCTGCTTTGTAGATATGCTGCAGATTGTTCCCATCTCCCAGCCCTCTGGATATGGATCATCCCTAAGGCCTCATCCTGTCAAACCACCTAATTAGGCACAGTTTTCCTTAAAGCGGAACACTTTTAATTAACGCTGTGAAAGTTTGTTAATTACACCTAATAGTGATAAATGTTTCGGTTAACGTCAATGTCACGCGCACACTTTTTCTTTTTTTTTTTTTCCCTTCTTCTCTGTTTTATGGACTTCTTGTGTCAGTTTCTGTATCAACTTCACGGCCTGAGCTGCCGGCAGAGAAGTGAAGCCAATCGTCTGTGTTTTTTTCAGCCAAGCTTTGACTCACCTTGACCTTTTTGCTGTGAATGGCGCCCTGTTTACCTGCTGTAAATCAATCCTCATTCTCAGACAACTATAAATAACCCGGCTGTGGAGGAACAGCAGACGTGTCATCTTAGAGTCTGTCAGCGTAGGATTTATCCAATGACCTCACATCAGAATCAGGCTCTTCTTAAATTGAGCCTAAGTGAAGTGATACTTTTACAACACTTGACGCACGCACACACACACGCACACATGTAATTTAATCATCTTAAAATACACAGCCCCTTTAATATTAACCCTTTTCTTCCAGATTTCTTTGCGTGTTGTTATTAACCCGGCCATCGTCTGTCACAGTTCCTACCTTCGTGCCATGTTTGAGGTCTCTCTCTCAGCCTCCGAGAGAGAGGCGGGCCATGTTCTGCTAATCAGCCTGAATAAGTAAAGGAAACAGTTTGACAGGCCAGGTAATGAGAAGTAATGAATCACTAATCACAGTCTCTTACAACCCTCGGAGCACAGATGAAAAATTAAAGGTAATTAGCTTGCACAGTTGTGAAAACAATATTTAAGACTGTTAGCATCACATGGCACAGACTTAACAGATTTCCTCCGCCGACAACATACATCAACGCTGCACTGAATTCCTAATGTGAAGCTGCTTTTTTGAAGCCACTCACAAAGTCATTCTAGTGACTGACCTGATTGGGGTGCAGACCCCTTTGTCACCCGCCAATCTCGAGGGGCAATCTCAACGACAATGCAAGAATAAAAAAAAAAAATATATATATATATATATATACAGTATGTTCTCTTTGGTGGAGAGCAAGAAACACGGCAGTAACACGAGTCTGAGATTTCATTTAGAAGTGAAGAAGTGTGAGATAGCATTCTGATAAGACTCTGATAAACACACACACACACACACACACACACACACACACACAGTGAAAGGTGTTTTAGAGACTTATGGTCAGGGCTGTGAACCCTCTGCAGCTCTCTCTCTCTCTCGCTCTCTCTCTCTCTCTCTCTCTCTGGCTCCAGTGCTTGACAGCAGAGTGAGGGATGCTTTGACAGAGCCCGTGTTTGACAAGACTGCATGAGGCTCAGAGTACAGGATCCAGACATGGGCTGTCAGTCAAAGCCGACACATCTCCCAGCTGAGACGTGCCAGTTTAGTCACAGTTACAGAGGAGCTAATATGCATTAACTGGAGCAAGGCACACATATGGGCCTGCTGCAGCCCTGTGTCCCATGGCTGGGATTGAGCAGATGCCAAAGAACATAAGCCCAAGATATAAAAAGAATTACAGGGGGACAAATAAAACACGGGGATTATGTCAGTGTGAGAAATGGAGGTGTTGTAATTCTGCATTTGTGCCTCTCCTCTTTCAGCATCCAGGGTCTGTGGGCCGTAGCCCCGCAGTCCTGCACCTGTGCTTCTGCTTTCCAGGAGCTTTAGAGACAGAACGGAAAGGAGGTTGTTAGACTGCATGTGACAGGGAGAGGAAAGAGAGGTTTGGAGGATGAAAGGGGAACAGCACCAAGAAATAATGTAGCACGTTCAGATGATCATCATCATCCACGTTTAACTCTTTAAACATACGTGTAAAAGAATCGTCCTCGGCCATATCGTGCAATACACTTGTCCAGTTAAAGACTAGTGACAGGAAGCTACTACTTCAGTGCCTGCAGCTACTCCCTTGCTCGTCCGCTGATGTCGTGTTGTCACCCGAAGTTTATTCGTGTTTCAAGCCTCCCCTCTGTCTCGTTCTCCCCCTCCTCGCTTTCTGCTGAAAAGACCTGTCTCGCATAACAAACAATTGCACCAAACCTCCATTAAAATCACTTCATGGGAATGTGATCGTGCCTCAAGTGAAAGGCTGTAATTGAAAAGCATTTGACAAACCACACACACACACACCACAAAACGACAACAGACGAGCTGCGATTCTCACTTTAGGTATTCAGTGCAAATGATTATCATCATTTTATTCTGTGACCTGCGCAACTTGCTTGAATATAATGTCTCTAAAACATTGATTCTTGGATGTGTTCGTGCTAATGATCATCAGACAGATAGACGCCCAGATAATGGTTTTCTTGTTCACTAATGGCCTCTGGAACCTATGTAGAGTTTTATCATGAAATAAAAGCAGAAACTGAACGTATCCTGAATTCTTATTTTCCTCCTGATGTGCTGACATCTGAACAGGGCTCCCTGAAAGCCACTTTGACAACTCACTGTTCTTCAGCCCGCACTGAAGCGCAGTGTAACCAGTCAAACCCTCAGAAGTGGAAAGTCTCCCTGGAAAGATGCTCCCGTCCATTGATTTGAAGTGACAGCCACATCCTTGACAAACACACCTGTCATTGTTCAAGTCACATCACATTTTCACTTTCTGAGACGGAAGACGGAAGACGGCAGAGGTGTGCAGGTGTGTGTGTGCTGGTGGGTTTTATGCATATGTGAGCATTAGTGCCCAGTTTACTCAGCCCCTCTCTCCCACCCTCCCATCCCTTTCTTTTATATTTGTGGATGGATAAGTCGACTCTGCCCCAGCTGTTGAGCAGGAACGCGGCCAGATTCTCTCTCTGGCTTCTTCAGCCACTCCTTATGAAACAAGACATCTGGGGTATTTATTTTTTTTAACACATGTCAAAAATTTATTTAACATGCCTAGAACTTGCTGACCACCACTTTGTGCGAATAAGTTAGTGACGCTGCGGTGGTCAGACAGTATTCATCGTGAGCGTCCCGGCAGCGGTGTTAGAAGTTTTTTTCTTTTTTTTTTTTTTTTTTGGGTGGGGGTTGGTGTGGGGTTTGTAAGGACTGAGGAAGGGGGAGGGTGATGAGCTGCTGCAATAATAAGCAGATTTTAATGATTTACTATAAATCAGCTGCCGAGGCCTCTGCTTGGGGAGACTGAGGGGGATGACAGCTCCTGACTCACACACCTCGCAAATGCCTTGCTGATGATGTGTGTGCACTTCAGATCATCAATCACACAGCACACACACACATATGGAGCCACCACACTTTTACAAAAACATTCTTTCAACACACTTTTTCAGGTGCACACACACACACACACACACATAAACATATGTGCGGCCACACACGTGTTTCTTGTCTCCAATATCTCCTCTGCTGTGGCAGGGAACAAATCAATCACCGGTACAGAAGTTCAAGGGGGTAAGAGATTGTCTGCTCCATTTTTCCCTATGCTATTGATCCTATTTTACTGGCATCATCGCCAAGCTGTCTCGGAAGCTGCAGGGCGACGATGGATTGAAAGTGGATGATTGAGAGATGAGGTAGGATGACATTCAGCGTAATCTCCGTCCCCACCCGTACGTACCCCGCCTCGATCCTAACACAGACATGTCCAGTGACATTGAAAGTTAGTGTTCCATCAGGGCTTTTCTTTTCTTCTCCTCGGAGCTCCGAGGAGCCAGGGACAGTCATATGTCACAGTGAGAGAATGTCAAGACCTCTTTTCTGTTAAAAGTCCCTGTCCTTTTACGTGTCTTTTTCCTATCCATCCCATCGTCTTTTTTTATTTGATTTGGTAATAAAAGCGGGTGACAAACTGCTTACATAGTGGGTTTTTTATATATATATATATATAACATTGTGAAATAGTGGAGAGAATTTCCCAATAATAGTCATATCCTTTGCTCTGTGTCACTGCCTCTCGGTAAAGGGCTGAACCTTCTGTCAGTCATCTGATACAGTACGCAGTTATCTCCAATTTATTAGAAATATTTCTCACTCACTCCCTTCTCTCCCTGGGTTTCCCAGAATTGTAGTCATATTTAATGTCAATACTTTGCCCGTCCTTCCTATTTGGGAAAACTCTTTCTTGAGACACGATCAAAAACTTCATTTTGTAACGACAAAAATAATAATTCACTCCCCGGCGCTGAGCGATACAGCCTCTGAGTGAAGATATACAGTGGTTCATATCTCTCAGCATCAGGTTTTACAATGTAAACCCTAATGACAATATAGTGCAAATCATTTAGCTCCAGCCTTACAATGCGCACTTCAAGCTCAAATCATTTACTGCAGAGTATCAGCAAATCACTGTCAGGCTGTTTATCACATTATTTCTACATTATGATGATGTACACGTTTAATTACAGATAGATGAATGCTTCATTCATCTCTCCTGTTCCTGACGTCTTGATTAAAAATGTTTAAAGGATTATGTATTGGGCTCCTATTTGTGTCCTTGTGTTTGTCTTTTCAACTTTCATTCGCCTGATTTATTCCCCTTGTCTATAAATACGTGGACAAGGTCCATGTGATGGATTAGTCTGTTGACATTGTACCAACTGCAGGTAAACAATTACTATTCATGCTTCATCGCTGCAGAATCTATACCAGGATGCTGCCACTTATCAAGGGACAAAAGGTTATACTGCCAGCCATTGTTCTGCTTTTGGTCAGATGTCATTCACTTTGGAGAAAAACGCAGCAAAAGTAGAGATTCTAAGATTCTGGGTGCAATTTAATGGAATACGTTTGAATCAATCCATCTTGTAATCAAAGACAGGCTTGTTTTCTGTCTCAGCGCAGTCATGGCGAATGTCTGTCGTCTCAGAGTATTCTTTTACGTCCAGTGTTTGTGTGCATGTGTGTGTGTCTCTCTCCCAAACACACACACGGATGTGACCGCATCCAGAGCCTCGTCATGTGTAATCTATTGTTTATTCAGATTTCACTGTTGCTCCAACTCTCGGCCCCCGTGGGCTGGATCAGTCTGCGGCCATTAAACTGATACACAGGCAGTGAGTCAAACAGAAGAAAGGGTTAAATGTGTGTGTGTGTGTGTGCGCAGTGTCATACGTCTGACATAGAGTGATTACAGTGTCCGTTCATGAAACAGACTCTGTATCAACAATAATTCATATCCCTGAGGCCACAGAGTAAGTGAAGTGAAAGGCCAGACTGTGGAGCAGAGGATTCGACTGATCAGGCAACACACTCATTCATATACTATGTAATAGGCTTCATTTCTAAAAATGTGTGCTGAATAAAAGTCAACTGTATCGTATAAAATGACAAATATTGAAACTATAAAAATATGATTTGAGAACACGATGAACCACGAACCAGAAAACCGACAAAACACATCATTCATTTACAGTTTTCAGTTTTGACTTTCAGTACGACCAGCCCCACAAACAGACTTTATGTTGTATGTCGGTCTGTAGGAGGGTGGAGTTGTGGATGAAGTCAGGCTCAGATCGGTTTAAACAGCAACAACAGGTCACTATTCTACACATTAGCCATCATATCGTCCAATTCTAACGCCCAGTCTTCAATCTTCCTCCCTGCTTTGACAAATAAGAAAATAATTTAAAAAATTAAGCTGTATAGCAATTAGCAGTAATATGGCGAGTATTAAGACCACATTGAGAAAAAAAAGATTAATATGAGATTAAAATAAATAATCCTAAATTATTGAGAAAAAGTTGTTTCTTAAGAATAAAGCCATTATTTTTATGAGATTAAAGTCCAAAGGCTGTGGACGATGTGTTTACGAGAAAAACACAGCGTTATTATGACAAGCGTTATTATGACAATGAGAAACACGGAGAATCTCGTGCAGTTATACTTGATCTGGTTCACAAATCGCCATCACATCGTGATAATTATCAGGACACGGAGGAATTCTGTACCAAAGGAAGAACTGCACAGATCTGAGTGAAGTTTGTGACTGCATGAAATGCCCCCAATGGCCATTCAAATCAACATATTCCTTCAGTGTTTTTTAAATCTCAGTGACTGGAAGCATCTGTTCTGCAACTACATTCCATTTCTTCAGTACTGGTTATTACCACTTTGGAGTTAGTTTTAAAGTTAGGCTGACTGTTGCCATCACTTTGTCTCTGCAGAGACTTGAGAAGGTCGACGTTGCTACAATGGAACTCAATGAGGCAAGAAAACATTAGCAGTGAAATAATCAGAGCAGTTGGAAACACAACACAGTATAAACCAGGTGAGGTAACACTTAAAGTGGGAGCGTGCTAACAATACTGTGTAATACGAGTAACAAAAAAAAAAAAAAAAAAAAAAAAAGCAAAAAAAAAAAAAACAACAAACTGAATTTGCTGCAGATTCAATAAACACCAACAACAAGACGAGTCAGGACACTAGGGGGAGTCTACACCTGGGAGCTCCTTTTCAAAGGACCAGGCCACAGTGATCTACCTACAATGATATGAAATATATATTATCTCATGTAACCTGAATATATTTTATATACACATGATATGTTATATATGAGTACTTTGATTAAATGCATGTAATTTAATGGTCACTAATTTAGTCCAAGACATTTCATCTTTATATATATATATATATATATATAGTCAAAACACAAACAATAAATAGTATAAACTATACTTATACATAAAAATACATCATTCCAACCCACAAAAACATCAATAATATTAACAACAACAACAACAATAATAATAATAGTCCTTTATTTATTCCACAATGGGAAAATTTATCGAGTGAGTCTTTCCAACCGACCATCAAGTACGTGGTTGCAACACACAGGCTGCCACACGAGAGGCGCCGTTTAGGGATATGTGGTTCCTCTGGGAATTGAACCATAACGTGCTATAAGCACTGCTACAAAACAAATAAGAAACAACACTAAAGAATCTATTCCACATTAGACTGTCCGGGACGACGTGACGCCATGTCACCTGACACTGAGCCGCTATGACAAGCTGTAGCAGCTTAGCTTAGCTGATCTACTGACCTCATGGAAACACTCCGCATCATTGTTTTTCACTGGTGTTTTTATCGGGACCTGATCCATGTCTGTGTGAATGTTCCCAACCCATCCTGACACAACCCTTTGTTGTCCACCCATATTTACTATTTCTTTTTAATAACAATTAATTCAGTTAAAAGGGTTTACAAATAACAGATAAAAACCATAAAATCTTAAGGAATTTTACGGACGTCATAAATTCAGTAATAATTAGCCTATATATATATATATTTTTTTTTACATACTCTTTAGTTTAATTTCTTTCTGGGGTTTCTGTCAGACCCTGACCTTTTATAGGGCAGCCAAATGACATACTGCCAGGTTGGACACACATGGACACACAGATGCAAGCCTGCATAAAAACAAAGACACAGGCAGCAATTTTTTCCAGTCGTAGTAAAGAGAGTTTTTTTTTTTCTTTTTAGCACAAAGGTAATGGTTTGAAAAATAACAACTCCCATTCAGATTCAGTATTCAGTAAGTATTCTTAAACCAGGTCAACTATGGTCGTGGGCCAGACACGGCCCGCTGGACTTTCTACTCCGGGCCACCAAACACTGGAACAGGGTAAAGACTGATGTTAGTCCTCATGTTTCATGCATTAAAATGAATCCACTGTCATTTCTGTTGCTAAATTATTACCTCATTTTGGCCAGTGTCCTCCACTGTATTAAACAGTATTTGGTGCCACTAAATTATTAAGTACTTAAAATGGCACTTTGACTTATGTTTGTCAATATTTGTTAGTTAACAGCTAACTAAACTAAACTAAGCTAAAACCGATGATGACTGATGATCAGAAATGTAATCATCTTGAGAAAAACTAACAAATTAAATGGCCATGTCTTCATTTGTTGTTTTCAGCTTCTTTAATTAGTTCTGAGTTTTTCTATTGTTGGTCTGTCACTTAAAGATTTACTAAGTCATGTTCATATTTGATAGCAAGCCTGTAAGGCTGCTGATTAAACCCTCTGCAAAGCACAACAATACACAGGGTCCAGTAGTTTTTAACCTGTGTATCATGAACAAATATGAAGGCGGTATTGATTTTCCCATAAACACGAAGGGTGTAAAAACTCAGCACTAGTCTCAGAACAGCGGTCAGCCTTGATGGTTCCAAAGCTCCTTTTCCTTCATTGTAGGTGAACAACTTGTTTGTCTGTACACTGACAAGTCAGGATAACATGAAAGGTCAGGAGAAGGATTGAGACGGAAGCTGTTTGTGTTGTAAACATTGACTGAACTCGGTAGTGGACTACAGGGAAAACATGAGATTTGTTAAAGTGAGCCGTAAAGCCCTTTATGTGGTGTGTTTGCCTTACACATTAACCTGCGCCTGCCTGCAGCGTGCATACAGTCGGCCGGTCCAGGTATTGTACATCTGTTTCCCTTCTTCGCAAAACATGAAACACACGATTTACTGTATACGTGGAGTTCCATTTTATGAGCGCAGGAATTGCCAGTGCTTTTGTTCTCCACCCAGCACAAAACCAACAACGTAGACTGAGGCTGCGTGTGCGTGCTGTATTGACAGCAGCCCATAAACACATTACGTTGTCCACCAAGTCTCACGAGGGATCGTTTTCATGTCCCCTTCTCTCCTTCCTCCTACAACCCCCAGGAATGGAAGACATTTCTTGCCAGAACAAACCTTTAATTGTCTGCCCTGTCGACATGTAAGGGAAGTGATGCGTTACATTATGTCATCACTCTCCCTCATGTCCTCCCAATGACCCCAGAATTAACGATTCAGCTAAATGGATCCACTGTTGTCAGACGACGCAACTAAGTCCGAGCCTTTCAGTCTCCTGGTGAAATATCTCTGATTCCTTTAAAAAAATAATAAAAAAAATAAAATAACAGCCTGTTTAAATCATCCCCTCTGTCTATATAAGTGACATCTCAGATATCTGATTGGGTTTGCCACAGGCTCCAGTTACTGTCTCCTCCTAAGGGCTACGGTCGATGAAGAACATCCACCATCCTGGTCGAGCCTTAAACTGTTACAGCTCTATCTCTTCTGTTCTTCCCCTTTTGTGACAGCACCAGAGGGGAGAAGTGAAGAGGGGCTGCATCTGAGTGACAACCCTGACTGAATTATCCTTAACCCCGTGAGAGTGCAAGTTCGGGTCATTTAGTATCGACTAGCCACTGCCGAGCCCGGAGTAGCTGCAGGAAAAAAAGGGGAGA